TAAAACTAGATAAGTGGAGCTCAAGCATGCAGAGACTTTCGCATGCGAATGCAAAGGCGGATGACAATAAACTAATGGACAGAAATTTTACTTTCTACATTGCAACAGAAATTACATAAGATTCAAAACATTTTTCAAGTTTAAGTGTTTCCAATAATTAAAAATTAACTAAATAACAGTCGATATTTTATTATGCCATTCTATATACAAAAATGCTAAGTGTTTTTCTCAATTAAAATAAAGAAGGATCTCTTTAAAAAGAAATTATTTCTATTAATTATTTTATGTAATAAATCTGTTTGTCACACACGCAATTTTTCGAATAGAAATTTAGACAATTTAAGAAACTATAAAGGCTTTTTTAAAATCGTGTTTATCTATTACAAAATAACAATAATTATTTTAAGTGAAAAATTAGTGATATCTCATAATTTATGTCATCATAATAGTACTTAATTAAAATGATTCAAAATATTATATTTATAGTTATTAAAAAGGATTTGCGCATTATGTAACTCAAAATTGACATTCCAACAAACGTTTCCTCGGTCAATTCTTATACCGTTATTAATGTTATTATGCGGACTCAGGTCAGTGACAAATCGCGGTTGACACAGATGTATATCTCGACGTATCCGCAAACGCGAAGATACGATGATCTACTTAGAGGACCTTCCTACACGACAATCATCTCCATTTCGTCGGTTATCGTCGACGATTCACAGTCATCAAAATGATTGTGGCCGATTGCGCGATTGCGTTAGCGCGTGCGGCATGTGTTACCGAACCCGCCGTCTCTCCTGTCATCTCATTGACTGGTGGCTGCCACTACGTTATGACGATTGTACATATTCCGAGTCTACTAATAACCGCGAGTCAATGAGATGACAAGAGAGACGGCGGTTTCAAACAAATTTTACTTTGGATCCAAATAATAATAAAGAAACCATTACGTCGAATTTTTATGATAATCGCGGTATTAGTAAACTCGGTATATCTCATGACAATCTCATGATAATCTCATTGACTTGCGGCTGCCGACGATTGCACATATACCGAATCTACTAATACCGCGATTATCATAAGAATTCGACGTAATCGTTTCTTTATTATTATTGGGATCCAAAGCAAAATGTTTTGGACTATAATCCATACGATTGGTACTATGAGATTCTAAAGTGTAGGTGAAAAGACTTTGAACTTTCCTTTATTAATCGTCATAAGGAGATTCATTTGTACTCTGTATTTCAAACAAGACACTTTAGAATTTAGGTATAGTTGAGGGTTAAATACTGTATAAAAATAAAAACACTTAAATAATCTTGAAAAAATGATAAGTAGCTTAAAGATTAGAAATTGATTGTAATTAAAACGTGAATCATTAAAATCACTAAAAATTATTACAGTTATTAATTCTAACTTAATTTTTATTAATTAGTTAAAGTTTATTCTTACAAATTATATAAATATGAATGTGCAATATACAGAATCAATTGCGAAATAATTTTTGGTAGAAAGAAAGCAAGTCGAGTAATTTCTCTCAAAAGTTTCCTTGAATATTGAAATATTGGTCGATACAATAGTCGAGTTCAAATTATTTCCAATACTGCGCTTGGTTTGCCAAACATTAGAATCGTTATCGATGATATCAGGAAGAGAGTTGGCAGTTAGCATGGTTTCCTCCTGTTACTTCCAGGCGGTACTATTTTCACCGTTCCACCGCGATTACATGTGTGTACGTGTGTGTCATCGGCTCGGCTGTGACCTATGACCTCGATGATAGCCTCGGCAGTGATAGCGCGTCGAACTTTCCCACTAGCTGACTTACGCGAATGTCAAAACGTCTGAGAACGTAAACGAGCTTCGGCAAGACTATCAATACTGGCTTGACATTCCCAAGCATCGATTATCGGATGCCTCTCTCTCTCTCAATGACCGATACTGATTCGGTTCATAAACTCTCATACGTATAACGGGACGAATATCGATTAAGTATTGAAAGTTGGAAGATTTCTGTTTATTTAAGCTAAATTGCAATTAATACTACCGTAAAAAAACTAACATTTTCCGATACATTTTATAATCCGATATAAAAAAATTTTTTAATTTATAGTAAATTTTATCACAAAAATTAAAAAAAATATTAAACTTATTTTAATATCTTTTTAAATATATTCTTAATATCAATAAATGTAATATTTAAAATTTTTCGGTTTAATAAATACAACTTGTTTTCACATCGAAAAGTTACATTATATAACTATTAAAGTGCAATTAAAAAGTTTAGTTTATATTTTCGATAAGTTGAAATAAGTTAAATACCTTGCCTATTCAACAAAATTATGAAATAAATTTAAGAAATAAATTAATGCCAGAATAGTGTCACAATAGAGATTATTACTTTGTCGCCCTAATTCGTGTCAATTCACTTGAACCGGGTCGCTCGTTAACGATGTGCGACTTGAGCGTTAAATTTGACGCGGCGCCCATAATATTAACCTCACGTGAAAACAATATAGGTCATGGGATGTTCCAGCTTGGACTTTGAGTGGCGCATAAGAATGAACATTGATGAAAAAATGTGAGAGCGAATCACGCAATCCGAATCGAACAAGTATCGAGAAATTCGTATTTTATATACCATATTTATAAAAAAAATAAATAGATAACTTTCATTTTTCTGTTTTAAAAACATATTTTGCTTTTAAAAAAATTTCATTATTCATAAATTTAAAGTTACTTTTAATAAACAGCTTGTCTTACAAAAAGTCACGAAATAGTATATAATTAAAATATACGATGTAATTTTATTCATATATCTTATAGATTTTAAGAATGGTAGCATAATATATCACTTTCTTAATTTCAACATTAAGTAACACTAAGCCGCTAATAGCAAACAGTGTGAGAACCATGTCAATCACTTTCTCCCAGTGTAATATTTCAAGCGGTTGCACCGCTCTTTTGAGAAGTTTTAATTTTGTCTCTTTAATGACGAAGAGTTCTTTTTTTCTTGCGTAGCAGCTGCGGCTTGAAGAGCGCATCTCATCAAACGTGTGTGTGCACGCGTTTAGCGCACTTCATTTTAGCCAATTGACGAAATAAGTCAGCCCCAGATAACATGACTGTTGGCTACTCCTTTTCGCTTTGAATATTATATTTAAAAATAATAAGAAATAGTTGGAATTCTATCTTTTTCTATATAATCTTAATAATTTTTCTCAAAAATTAAAAAGTCTTGTAATATAAAAATGGCAAAAAAAATATCTTATAAACAATTAATATACTTAATAATAAAATAATGGTTTGCTGAAGTATCTAACAATTTAACTAGATACAGATTTAAAAATAATTTTGTTAGTTTATCAAAATAATTATGTAGGATGCTTAAGTGCGATAAGCAATGTTACAAAAAGTTTTGACATTCTAATAATCAGCTTGAATATATCCTATAATTAATTATTTTCATCCAACAAAATTATTTTCAGATTTGTGTGTTTGTAGTTCAATTTTTACACATTGCAGTGAAACCCTCCATTTTTCCTGTATACGTATATATTTTCAAGAATATAATTTACTAAGAATAAGATTAGGCTAAATCTATAAAAAAAAAATGTGTAAATTTCTTCTAACAAAATTTTTTAAATTTATGATTATATTCATTATCATCATTAAAGAATAAAAGGTTCATTACTTATATATAGTATTCTAATGTTTTCGTAAAATGTATTAATCGTCAAAGTTTTTGACATCTCTTGTTTCAAATTTGCTTAAAATTTTTAAAAATAATTATTAACATCTCGTAGACACCGCTCTCACCCTTGACCGCTCTATCATGGGCATGTTCTCGATCAGTCTCGATGAAATGATTGCGATTCCTTCGCGAGTTTACGCAAACGCGACACCGTTCTCGCGCCGGCGTTATAACGAGCGTGCGTTCGTTGGGTGAATGACTCTTCGACGACAGGCGCTCGTTCATTAACGTGCATGCGTGTCTATTGCGAGACTCGCGGAGACTGACGACGTGGGGCAAGTCCCCTTCCTAACAACGTTATTGTCGGATTTCACTAGCAGCACGTGCCAACGATTTACCTGCTGACCCGCTGACGTCGTCCGACCTTCCGCAGTGCGCGCTTTACGGAATTTGATTTACTGTCACGTTCCAATAGACAAGCATGTCTTCGGCGACGAAATTAGTGTTGGGAGATCTTAATACTATCGAATCAATGCACTCCACGATCAAAATTTGCATTATAAAAAAAAACTGCATTTTGTTAGTGGTATTATATATATTTTTTTTAAATATATTGAAGTAATAATAGTGATACACTTTAAAGGATTAGGAATATATTTTTTACACAGTATCGCCACATGTTTGTAAATAATGTTCTAAATAATAAATATTTTATAATTATGAATCTATGGAATATAATTTCCCATTATATATAGAATGGATAAATAGCACTTTGATGAATGCAATCGTTAAGTTTTAAATTTAAATATCGATTATTAACAAAGTTATTGTATAATGTAAATGGGGGACTATAATATCTTCTCCTCTATTATTAAATCATATAATCTTCTGTTATTATTAAATAATATTAAAATGGAACAATTGCCAACTATCAGTCAATTGAAGTTGCATAACGTTAAAGCACTGAAATATTAATAGTTAGATACTGATAATGCGATAAATATTTGATAAATTCCAATAAGCTTCAAATATATGACAAAATTAAACGCTGTAAAATGAATAAGTAAATTGTCGATTTAATTCCTTCTTCTTATTCAATGTTTTAAAATTTTAAACAATCGCTATAAATAGAATCCAAGCATTTCATTGCGTTTACCATAAGTAAATAGAAATTTTGAAAGCTTTTATGACTAATTATACAATATATTTTCAAACTTTTATTAAATACAAAATTAAAACCGAGCACATTTGCAACACAAATTGGCTGAAAATATTGAAGCTGGAAAATCGGTTTTCTCAATTTCAGATAAATGGAAATGGCGTTCTCTCATTCGCTAGGGCCATGCAAAGGTTTTTCAACATTGCGTTTCCTCTTGATGATCCAGTCATCTCGCCTCTTTATACGCATGTCGATACGAGAGCTTCCGGAACAATTTATTGGAGCGAAACCGATTCCCCTGACGTTCTCGCCAGAGCAGGGGGATTAATTCGAAGCGCCTTTAAGGATGCCAATAACTTTATGCCTACGCACGTCTTTTTGGCCACTTGGATGGACGTTGGGTATTACAATGAGCGAAATGATAAGGCAAGTTGCAATCTTTACGCTTATCAAATATTATTACGTTTTCTACTTTTTTAAATAAATCTTTAATTTATATAGGTAAGATTTGTTCGCGTTGCTTAAAATCCTCAAAAATTTTTGCACTTAAAATAAGATAAATATACATATATTATATATTAAGGCGTTGAAGAGAAAGAAAATAAAGATTCTGAGTGCAAAAAATGCAAGCAACACGAGCAAATCTACAATTATAAATGTGAAAAAAGGTTAACGATATGTTTTTAAAACACTTATAAAATTATGTTTAAACTAAACGTTCCATTACTAAGGGAAAATGAAAAGGTAAACATGTAACACGGTTATTTGAAAACATGAATAACGTTCATCGAATCGTCTTTCAGGTGAATACTTATCAAGTCGCTATATCATCCAACGGTACGCATTCCTTTGTTGAACTACTGTACCCGGAAAATGGTATACAGTGGATTCAGGGTGAGTCGCATCCCAACGGTCTCCCAGATGCCAAGGCACAGGCAGGATTCATGAGCGAGGGCAAAATGTATACCCTGAGGGGCTCGGGCACGGACCAAATTCAGAATGTCGACAAGTGAGTAATGGGGAGAGCGGAGGCACCGGCTGTATTCATGTGCGACGTATTCATGGGCCTTTGTAATTGTTTTCAGGTGGTCGAATGTAAATAGGCCTGGCCAGTGGTTGTTTCAAGTCGGTCCCATTGATGAAGGTGAAAATATAAAGACTCCCGATAATATCGAAGGTAAAGAGTATATAATACATATATAATAAAATATAATAATAATCTATATAAAAATATGCTTACTTAAAGGACAATCTATGAGTGCATGATTTATAAATTGCGATAACAAGATTCTAAAATTGCAAAACCAAACGTTATCTCAGATGTTATCTTTATGACATTGATCGAATTAAGCAATATACCTTGTTAGACACGATGACTATGCAGCAAGCGGCCAGCTGTAGGACCGGCGCCACCACTTGCCACAGCAAAGCGACCTGCATTGATTACGAGATCGGATTCTGTTGCAGCTGCAAGCAGGGCTATTTCGGCAACGGGAAATCCTGCCAGCCAAACGGTAAGCTATTTATCAACGGTGTTTGTCGAAATCTCGCGTGCTTGTAGTAAGCGAGATAAGCTCAAGCTAATGGCATGCAAACGCGGCCTTTGAAGTGTTCTTGAAACAGGATAAAGAAGAGATCTTTCAACGTTTCCCCTCTCTACGACGCTTCACCTAACGCGGACAAAGGTACGCAGAAGTTGTCGTAGGGCAAATAGGTGTAACGCAGTAAGTAGCTGCGTTTACTTGCTTTCTCTGATCTATTCATAGTTTACGAGACTGGTTCTTACGACTTTCACGGTAACATCATAAAGACGGCAATACCGTGAAATGGGCCGTGCTACTCTTTGATGATTGTTTCGTTGGCAGTGTCTCTACCAATAATTTTTTTCCACAAGAAAAATGCGATGACTTCTTAAGAAATACAACCAAAATTATATTTCTTTCCAGGTTATATTATCGTCAATTAAATGGTTGTGTAAAAACATCAACAAACAGCACTTATAATTAAAAAAAAAAGAATATTTTGCGTACACAGAAGGATAATTAGGCAACATAGCAATTATAGCAATTTGTTAAAGACGAAAAAAATTCTGGCAATTATAATAAAAATATAAAGATGTTATGGATTTTTTTTATCCAAAAGATTTAATTTTTAGACGTGCCTCTTCGGGTTATTGGTCGAATATCTGGCACGCTGAACGGCGTCGAATTCCCCTCCAGAGATCTTCAATGCTACGTACAAACCAAAGATGGACGAACGTACACAGCTTTATCAAGAGTATCTGAAGAAATCGGCGCTAGTTTCCAACTTTTGGGCAATTTGGGTGGCATTATTGCCTGGCTATTCGCAAAACCTGTTAGCGATACCGAAAACGGATACGAACTTACAGGCAAGAAGCATATATATATTTATACAAACTACAGAAACCTCTAAAATAGGCTTTGTCCAAACATAATATTTGGCGCAAACTTGTCATTTATTTTATTTCACATTTTTATTCTATTTTTTTAGATAAATTAATAGTTTATAAGATTTTGTGCAAAAACGTATGAAGACTGTTTCTAGGACAATGATGCTGAATCCGAATCTGCCATGGAAATATTTCCATCAGAAATATTTTTAATTTTTGAAATACAAGAAGAAACATTTTTTTCTAATATAGAGTGAAATTTTATTGAAATTAGAAAACACATCAGAAGTATTAAGTATTAAATTTCGGTTTTTCATGACTTTAGATCGGTTTCATGTATCAAGCCCAGCAATCCAGTAATAGTCGCTTAACATGTTTTCATCAATATATACACGGGATAATATTTCTTAATTATCATCAAATTCTGGTAAAGACGTTCTTGTTTAATATTTGTCGGACTCAAATTATTTGAAACAAAATGTATTTTAATAATTATATCTTAAAAATCGATATACTATATCTTAGAAATTTGATTTGACGGAATTTTTCTAGTAGCAGATTATTTGGAACTCAGCATTCTAAAATACGTTAAAAAACAATTTCTTTTTTTGCACTAAAAAATTATTCAAAATTTGTATAATATTAACGGAAAACTATATCATATACATTTTGTTAAATAGTACCTATCAAAGATTGTACGTATGATCTGTCGTACTAGTATTACATCTTATTAATGAGCTTGAAAAATTCAAAGAATGTCATAACAATGTTGCCGAAGGAAAGCAGGTTTACAATTACACAGGTACTCATACGAGCGTGTTTCACGGGTAGGCGGCTTATTCAATCACACGGCGGAACTAAACTTCCCGTCGAGCGGCGACAAAGTGACGATACGCAGCAATTATCTCGGATTGGACGTCTTCGGTCAGCTGAAGATGGAAGCAGAAATCATGGGTTCGGTACCGCATTTGGAAAGAGACACCAGGGTAGACTACGGCGACTATGACGAACTCTACACTCGTGCCCAACCAGGAGTGATCCGTTCCCAAAGTGAGCGCACCTGTAAACTTCTGCGTGGAGGTGGAGACGAGAAGGAGATCAACTTCAAGTTGGATCAGATAATCAGTTATCAGGAGTGTCCCTACGCTATCTTTGATCCTGAAGACGACACGACTAGACTAAAGTTTTTCAGGGGTGTTACTGCTTACGAGAACACCGAGGGCATCATTCGATTCGCCGTCAATACTAAGATAGCGCCCCTTGAAGAGGAAGATCCATGTATTCAAGGACGACAAACTTGCGGTGATCATAGCTCTTGCGTGGTCGATGGAGACAGTTTTAGATGCGTGTGTAACGCAGGGTGAGTATATCCAGGAACTTTTAAAGTTACTTTATAAAAGTAACTATAATTACAGTTACAGTTTTTTCTCTTACAAAGTAATAATTACCGATAATTGTTTGTTATTATTTTAAAGCAGAGAATAGTGCTTGTAGGTAAATGAAATGTAGAACAATGTATCGAATAATAATTCTTCAAATGATTATGTGTATATTAATGATATTTACTATATTGCTCGATATGTGGGTAGGTATCAGTATCTATACGAAGAGGACGGTAGTGCGATTTGTGTGGACGTGAATGAATGCACAGCCGGTAACCACATGTGCTCCCCAGATGCTCAATGTATTAATCAAGAAGGTAGCCACATGTGCCAATGTAGAGCTGGATTTACGGGAGACGGTCGTGTCTGTGAAAGTAAGAGCACTTTCATTTATTTTTTAAAATAAATATAGATAAATCTCATATCTTAAAATACAGTTACCGTATTGCGATAACATTCTATTAAATCGATCAAATTCTTACTGCTGATAGTGGCGAGAATCACTTTAACGTCTGATAATACTGTTGGTTAAATATTATCAGACGTTAAAGTATTACTTTTAAATTATTCATTTTCAAATTTAAAGACATTTAAGAAAATCATATATAATAAACATTCACATATTAAATATTCAATTATATAAATATTTTTCGTGAGTTATTTATTTATAAACATTATCTAACTAATACCGTATTATCCATAATACAGGATTGCCGTCTTGTGAAGATACTCGCTGCGGAAATTATGAGCAATGTGTAATGATTGGAAATGTACCCACGTGCACCTGTATACCTGGTTTCGAGGAAACAGAACAGGGATGTTCTCCTTCTCAGCATGGTAAAATCTTTCATATAATTTATGAAAAAATGTTAATAATGGCAACAATGATGATATCCTTTATTGATAAAGCAACTGTACTTTTACAGCACCCTGTAACGAGGAGGATAACTGCTCCCCATACGGACTCTGTATTTCCGATGGGAATAAGAAGAAACACGTGTGCGTTTGTATGCCTGGTTACGTCGGTGAGTAGAAAAGGAATTTTTTGCCTAACGTTGATAATTCCTAAAGAAAACAAATATATAATATATATAATTATTAATACATGTATATATGTGTATAAATTTAAAAAATATACATTTATAATTGCAAAAAATTTTTTTATATTTGAAAAAATAATTTATTTGTCGCGAATTACTTATACAGTTTACTGCATATATAAAAAATATCTAAATTCACAAGTTTTTCTTTTAATCTTCTTCGTTTTTTACGACTTACAATTGTAGTAATATATAAATTTTATAACAATCTGGAAAATGGAGTAATTAAACTGAATGGGCGCGAAATATGACTCAACCGCTTTGTTGAACATAACGATTGTCGTTTCAAACGCATGTGACTATATTGCAATTTGCAAAGTGTTTTCTACCTGTTATTCACATATGCGATTATTTACAGGCGATGGATACACGTGCTACTCCGAATCCGATGTCACCACAACAGACGAACCGCCGCAACCGCAGTGCGTGGTTGGAGTATGTTGGTGTCCAATTGGTTGGGAATTCCGTAATCGTGCCTGCGTAAGGCAGGAGGGAGAATATACGACAATTGATTATCGAGATTGTAAGTTGCATGAAAAATAATTCTGTAATTGTACGATGGCTTTTCGCACCATTTTCCGTGAAACGTGAAAATTTTGTGTTCTGTTTAGATTAACGTAATTTTTCCCCGTTATTCGAATGTGCATCGTATAGCTATTGCGCATATGGCATGAATTAGAGAAATTATTTCTAAGCACCAAGCAAGTAATTTAATTGCACAGCAATAATTAATTGAGCATCAGTAGAATACTTTCTATTGAGATATGTTTATACCACTAAAAATTGAAGATCCTCAGAAAAATCGCATACACCAAACGTTCGATACAATTCAGATATGCAAAAAAAATATAACAATAAAACAGAGTAATATGTGCCTATGTAATATGTATTATGTTAATGTACTAATTAATAGCTTATGACTTAAATTACACTAGAAAAAATGTTTTGTTCTATGAATTAAAATTTTGCTATAACAACAAAAATTTGATTAAAATATATTGAACAAAAATTTTTGGTTAAAATGTATCGAACAAAACTGTAATTTTATACGAACTGAATTGTTTAGTTGGTATAAACAAAAATTTTTGTTCTTTTACAACGTAGAGAAATTATTTTACAAAAGCAACTAAATTTTTTATTATATAAACACAATATTTGGTTGCTGTTAATAAATTACCTCAATTAAACAATTTAACTAAAAGCAATAAAATTTTTTTCCTATATTAATATACAATTATATAATTGTATACATTAAGTAATTAATTTATAATGAAATAGCTGGAGCAACAGAAACGAAAACAGAGTAACAAATTAATATCGTAAATTAAAAAGGTTAAATTCCTATTTGTGTTAAAAGGATTATATTACACTGAGAAAAAAATTGCTCATTTGTCTACATTAATTTAACTGTCTTTATTTAATTGTCTTTTTCTTACAGAATGTATGTATTTAAGATAGAAACAGGAAACACGCTAGTGTTCGTTAAAAGTTCGCATAGCAATAGTACCAGACGTTCAATATACACTTTTCATCGAAAGAAATGAAAATGGACTAAATTAATTCGCATATACGGTCTTAATAAATTGTTTATTATTGTTAAATTAATTTAGTCAAAGAAACAATTTTTTTTTTCAATGTATATACATTGACAATCAAACGTTGTTATATTATTTGTACATATTGTATTGGTATAGTAGCATTTGTCTGTTAAAGCATTACGTATGCTGTATTTTTTCCGGGGGTCATTTTAGTGGAATAGTGAATACTGAAATACAGTTGAGAATTAAAACAATTTGCAAATGAAACACACGACAGGTAACTGCATGCAAATGAATTAACAGGAACAACTTGAATCCCCACGAAAGATCAATATTTAATAACGTGCGAGATTACGATCGTTAATAGTTTGCGACGAACATCGTTCGTCGATGCATCATGCGTTTTAGTATCGGCACATCCGCTCCCTGGATGCTTCGACGACGTCTGCATATGTCCTTTGGGATACGATTACGACCATTTGGAACGAATTTGCGTTCCGCTGCCAGGATACCGACACGACACGATGGGTCCATCAGGATCTAAGCGTACGACGCACTCACTGCTTAGCTTTAAATTATTTGTGTTCATTAATGATTATTAAGTTGCTCTGCATATCATTCTCTTTAACGAGTTTATGACGTCAGGTGCGCGAGGTGCTTTTATTTCTGTGCAATTGTTTTAATTTCATTAACGCGCGATATACCTTTTACCTAAATGCATAATTAAAAACGCCTGCAGGCTCACACATTCAAGCACTTAAAATAACATTTTTATAGTAGTACCGACAATACAATGAAATTAGTTAATAATGTTGGTTTTTGTCGATATATTATAAACTGTGTAAATTCGCAAAAAAAACTTACACATCCCGATTTTTTCGTCATACAGTGCGAGTAAGAAAGAGGTTCTTTCTGTAAATAAGTGTACTTGAAGTTTCGCTATCTTCCAACTCCTTAAACTCACTTTCAGAAACTTGTGATGCGCAACCTTTTAGTGAATAGCGAGATAGAAGATTACCCCAGGAAATTGAGAAATATGTCTATAGTATAATACTCTTGGGAAGGAACAAAATTGTCTTCGCAAACGTGATTGAAATATTTTCATTTCATTAAACAGTTAATATTTATGCTATAAATAATGCAAAAATATTCCTTCTCGTAGTACTCTTTGTGAATAAATAATTTGATTTCAGAACGGATGCTTATCTCGCTTGGAAAATGTTTTCAATGTTTCCTTACTCGAGACGCGATACTTCAAGTTGCACATCAAAATAGATACAGATATCTTGATAAGAGTGTAGCATCGACATCTATATTTTCGGAACAATATTTCTTCTCAAAACTTTTACCATGTTACGCTTAGATATCGATTTTTTACAAAATAAAATAAATATAATTTCCCAGAAACTAATTTTTAAGGATTACAAGATATTTTGTATAACATAATTAACATAAAATTAATCAATAACTATAGTTCATGATATCAGTGCACGCTTATAAAATCATGATTATATTCAATTTTTTGGTCTCGCTATCGAGACAGCCAGCTATCATCGCTGCCTGCAGTGCAATGTATCATAATGCTTGTGTCCAGTATCTTGCAACGTGGTGAACAGGTGTCATCCCTACGCTCAGTGCATCTACGTGACGAGTACCGGCGATTACGAGTGCCGCTGCAATCCGGGGTACGAGGGAGATGGTATGGAATGCATCAAGACAGGTACGTGCGAAATGCATCTTGTAAATACACTTAGGGTAAGCGACAATTAATAAGAATATATTGGAGAGTGCACGTTAAACTTTCCGCGATAACATTAAAAAATTATATTTTTGTATAAATTTGTAAAATAAATTTTTATGCATGTAAAAAAAAACAAGAATTGTTAAATCGCACACGCTTTAATATGTATATAAATCATCACGAAAATGTATATAAATCATCATAAAAATTGAACATTAAACATTTCGTTTCTTGAAATAATCGACATGTTCGTTAAAATCTAAAAATTTCAGGATATCTTCTACACAATTTACTCAAACATTACACTTAGAGAAAACATGATGATGGCAAAACAGGTGACAATTATACAAGTTTTATACGTAGAATTAACGTACAAATAGGTACATTAATAGATTATAGCTACAATAAATAATATATACCTGCAATAATAATAATTACAGTAATATTTTATACCTGCAATAACTTCAAAATAATTTATTTAACTGTGAACATTAATTCTGCATGTAACATTTTATAATTGTCACCTTTACATACAATCGCTAGTACTATGTCTTTTTCTCTTAAATATCGATTAAACTTTTTAATCTTATTGTTAGGACAACTAGCCATCATCATCATTTGTTATGCCATGTATCGTGCCTTTCAATACTCTTACGTTTAATAATTCCATTTTTCTAAGGAAAAAGCCTAAATCTCTTTCTCGTGAAAGCAGTATAAAGGTACGTTAATGTACGATAATACAACGATACGACTTCTTCTTCATACAGAGGTATCCTGCTTGGAAGTGGATATCTGTGATCTCAACGCGTCCTGTCAGTACGAGGAACCAATGGCAAGATGCGTGTGCAATCCAGGATACACAGGCGATGGAACAACATGCAGTCGTATCGGTGCTTTCACTATCTATACTTTTTTTAAATTTTTCTTTCATTCATTGCGCATGTCGCACGACGTACTTCGGAATGTCAACACGATTTCTTTCTCTCCCTTCATTATGCGCATACATATTGCCTCCTTTGCGTTTCGCATTACCATGTAAATCGAGAAATTGACGATCAAGATCGACCTCTAAGTTCAACAATAAGTGACTATTTCAAATCAGAATAGAATTCGTGTTTTGTATATCGCGCTGCAATCCGCGAAACACAACAATTGACATTCGCCGTTGGCTTTCTTACATTTTAGACGAATGCAACGACAATTCCGAGTGCGAGAAGAACGAACAATGCACCTATCACCCCATGAGCTCGCGTTACGAATGCACCTGCAAACCCGGATTCAGCATCGACAAGGATCAATGCGTGCCGTCCGATTGCTCGGCAAATCTTTCTCAGTGCAACGTGAACGCGCAATGCATGCCGTCCAGCGACGGTAGCTTCAAATGCTCCTGCATTAAAGGTTTTCACGGCGACGGTATGCGCCAATGTGTCGAGGATCATATCGGCTGTAATGTTTTGAATAACTGTGGCCGAAATGCAGTTTGTGCATACAATCAGACAACCACGAATTTCGCGTGCATTTGCCAACCGGTGCGTACACAGACGAATATTATGTCATCACATAAGATAATCGAGTTTGTTGCTACATGTATGTACAACGTGCACATACGTACTTTATTATGCCGTATGTAAGTGCCGTTGCACACGTATTATAAAGAGAGACGAGCGAGATTAAATATTAAAATTAAAAAATTTTTACTTTGAGAATTTGACATACTCATCTGAGAGTAAAAATAAAGATACTCTCGAAAGTTGAATTAAAAGGGGATAAAAATGTAAAGTATAAAATGCAAAAAGTAAAATACTTTTTTTTTAATATAACGCATTTAATAATATGACAGTATAATGTGCAGCAGTAACTCTTTTTCTCTTACAATTTATAGTATAAAATATGAATGACAGGAATCTGACCACTTTTAGGGTTATTACGGTAATGGTTTCACATGTCGGCCACAATCCTCGTGCAGAGACGATCCGAATATCTGCTCTTCAGAAGCAAATTGCTTGTCGACCGGTGAGAATCAGGTCTCTTGCGTTTGTAATGACGGTTATATTGGCGACGGCATAAATTGTAAACGCCGGCCGAGGCACGACTCCAATTTTTTACTGGTAAACCAAGGAATGGCCACGCATCGGATACCATTCATGCCCACACGACAGAATCCAGGAAATCCGATCTACATAGCTTACACACAAATGGCGATAGCCCTAGATATCGATTGCCTTGGGGGCAAAGCTTACTCCAGCGATATTACTGGTAAATTTATGTTCAAATGAATCTTATTCTAAATTTATTAATATTATAAAGATCTTTAAATAAAATAAATATTTCACAAAATAATACATTAACAGACACATTCTCTAACAAATTAAATTTAAATTTAATTTAGTATTAACACATTTATTGATTGCCAATGAGTTGAAAAAGCAATTACGGTCTAAGAATAAGATAGCTTTGTAAGATAAAATCGCAATCTATCTCACAGGCAACAGGATAGTCGAACTGTCTTATAACGGATCGATAGCAGAGACATTTATTCCGAAAGTTAGCAGTCCCGAGGGACTGTCGGTCGATTGGGTCTCGAGGAACATCTTCTGGACCGACTCAGGCAAGACGACCGTTGAGGTTGCCAGTCTAGTGACAAAGAAACGCAAAGTCCTCGTTTCCGATGGACTGGTCAATCCGAGGGGAATAGCTGTTCATCCATATCGGGGGTACGGCTATAGATAAGGACGCAGAAAATCTATTTGCAAAACTTCTCAGTTCCATGTTCAAGATCTTCTGCAATCTTATCTACGGAAAGAATCACTTTGCTGAAAGATCTAAAATTTTACTGAATACAAATCTAAAAATAATTTTGTTAAATCGTCAAAATAACTTTATTAAAATTCAAATTGGTTGCTAGAGTATCAAAATATTTTGCAGCATCGTGCTCATCAATGTTTAATTGCCAAAATAATTATTTTCATGTTCCAACAAAATTATTTTCAGATCTGTAGCCAGCAAAATTTTAGAAATTTTGAATTTTTTAGCAAAATCACTGTTTCCGTACACTTATAAGATCATTCGTTCTATTTGTATGACTAAATAAAATAAAGTTAGTTTCTTTTAATTACAAATTATTTTACACCGCTATATATTTATAGAAGAAATTCCAACGTTTATTAATTTTAGACTGATTAATAAACATAATAAAACATGTCAATATAACCTTGATATTATAATACCATCTTACTAAAATATCTATTTAAATTATTATATTTTAATATTGTTAAATTCTGACATTTTAATCTTGCAATATTTAAATTTTCCAACGAATATTTTTGTTTCAGAAAGATATTTTGGTCTGACTGGAATCGCGCTTCCTCCAAATTGGAGTGGGCTAATGAAGATGGAACAGACCGAGCAATCTTCCTTCAGGGTGATTACGTTAAGCTGCCGAATTCATTAACTATCGATTGGGCGACGGATGAGCTATGCTGGGCTGATGCCGGAACGTTCACGATAAGTAAATATAGATTTTAATCACTTGAACGCGTCGAAATAACATCCATTAATCTTAGGAGAAAAATGTCCGACGGTATAATATATTTCATTATCATAGAGCTTGCTACTTTAATAACAAATAATCTCTTTTTCTAAGGTTGTATTGAGATAGACAGCAAGAGAGTCACTGTCGTAGCAAATGAACTTACTTATCCGTTTGGCTTGGCAATTTCTCAAAATCATTACTACTGGACCGACTGGAAAACGTAAGGGAATAAAATATTCGCTCGCGCGCGCAGACAATCCAGAGAATGCTATAAAACGTAAAAGTTTTTATATTACGCTTCTTCCATTGCAGCCACAAGATCGAAGTCGGCATGAAGACTAATGGCGAAAGACGCACACCACTGTCTGTTCCGCCAGGTGGAAGTGGAAAACTATATGGTATCGTGGTTGTTCCCGAGTCATGTCCTAGAGGTAAATTCTTTATCTCTCCGTAGAGATCTATTCCTAAAAATTATACATTTCTAGGAAATATATATAATTTCAAATTTTACTGCGTCAGTCAAGAAATTTTTTGACTGAAACCTAAATCAACATCATGAGAATCAGAGAAATTTTACAAGTTTTTCTCTACAGAAAGAAAGTTGCTAAAAACGAGAAATATCAGAAATTCTATAATTCACGATCACTTGTTTGCAGTGACAAATGTGTGCCAGTACGACAACGGAAGGTGCAACAAGAATCAGCTTTGTCTACCAGACGGTCAAGGCGGCAGGACGTGTGCGTGCGCGGATGATGCGACAGGACCCTGTACTGACTCCCGTTATTTGTCTTAGATCCGTCTTCGATCTTGTATAGAAATAAAACAACGCAACGTGTAAAACAAACAACTCGCGTTCGATATTACGGTAGCTGATAAGAAAGTCTTGCACTGGCGCTCACATCGAGCTAAATTCGCAATAACCATTAGACCAAATGTAAATTATAACGTTATTCGTAATATCAACAATTAGCTGTCACCGATATTCTCAAACATCTACTTTTGTATCTATTAATCGCGACATGCGATACAAGCTGTATTGCGACTCGGTCTTATTTAATAAAAATGAAGGAAACGATAACGAGCACTGATATTCATATAATTACAACCATTTCCGTCTACATTTCTCGTCCATTGTAAATCTTTTCCGAGTTTATTCACTTGATAAGTTTTATAATTAACTACGTAGAGAAAAAAAAATAGGAATTCAAAGAACTTTAAATAAAACTGCTCTACAAAGATTAAAAATTATTATACCCATAACGTAATGAGAAGTAAAATCCAATTACCAATAATTATCGTATTACTACAAGCATTTTATTTCATATACATATATACTGTATATATACATATACATTGTGTCAAATTTGTACATATTGCTCGTAAAATTGATTAAATTTCGATATTCCTTTCCGCAAGAAAGTGTAAAGGAATAAATGTAAGTATAAATTTTTTTCTAATACAGCCGATCAATTTTATTTCTTCAAAATTCGTATAATATGAAATAAGTTATTACGCTGTTATTTATAAAATAAAAGTAAACTGTTCAGTGTAGAGAAAATATATTTCTAACAAAAAATAATATTTAATAACAAAGGATAAGATATATTCTTTAATATTTTCATAATACGTAGAACATTTCCTTGCTAAACATTTCTTCGGAAAAAGCGATATGTAATCGCTTACTATTGCGTGTAAATTTAAAGAGTAATGCGATGAAAAAGGAATATAAAGAGATAATATAAGAAAGAGAGCGATAAGAGGACGACCTCAAAAACCTTCAAAGAACTTAGTGCTCTCGAATGGATTCGCACAGAGTAACAAGAATCTCTTGGAAATGCATCTTGACACAGACTTGTCTTTTTTATCGTTCTACAATAAAATAGTAAAAGTTTTAAAAATAGAGATCCAAATCTTATTGTAAATAATTGCAAATCAGATAAAAAAGAGGTACTATTTTGTTAATGCTCTTTTTTTTTGTAATATTATAAAAATAAATAAATGGTATTACATAAGGTGCGCGTTAAAATAAGACGACTTAAAATAAATCGGAAGGTCAACGCGCCGCATGTAAGAAGCGGAAAAGATCATATAGTGCTTTATTTTAATAAGCATTTCTGGCCAAACAAAACAGTATAAGATATATTTAAAATTAGTAATCAGTCAACGAAGTGAATTGATTATCTGATCATGAAAATTAATGGACGATATTTGATAAATTTTATTATAGATTTTTTTGTATTTGGAAATTTCGAAAATCAATAATAGGTATGTAATTTTTAATAACCAATGCAACTTATATTTATTATGTAGAGGAGACCGAGGCTGTCAGTTTTTAAATATGATTTTTAGAAGAAAGTAAATACAAGATTTTAGAATACTATATACATTACAACACATCCACATTCCTTAGATCTTAGATATTAAAAAAATATTATTCTTGAATATATATCGTACCCAGATTGCCAAGTCTGTAGAAAGTAGATTTTTCAAATGTCTGCTACACACACTATGCCAACAAAATAACAACAGAATTAGATGTACATAATACTGTTGACAGACTGCTAGAAAAAACGTAACAGAATCTGCAAGCGTCAGATAATGTCGGCAGAATCTGCTCAGTTTCTGCCAACAATTTGCCTTCACATTATATCGACAGGCGATGTTAACAGAACACAAGCCTAATGCAGACGCAGTTAATGACAGACTGCCGTCATTTTATGTTTGAACCTGCTGACAGTCTGCTAGAAGACTGCAGACATTTTACTATCTGGGGTATAAATAAGTTATTTAATTTTAAACAAATCTGCGACACATACAATGTGATAATTAGCCCCGTACTCGGGGTTAATTATCAGTAATTTACAGTCAAAAGAATAGAATATAGCTTTGTCGCGTACCGATAAAGTTAACTCTTTGACAATTAACTCTGTATGAAAATCAGCCCCGACCTCTTCTGTCATTTTCAGTAGCCGATGTAACTATATCTTTATTGTATACCAATTTACATTTTGATATTACAATAATACAATTACCTAGTCGTATATAATCAGTATTTATAGCTAAACATTGCTATTGAAAATGCTATGTTTAAGCGATTGCATATATTTATTTTAATTGGTTATATTCAGTGTGCATAATAAAAGCGCATTAATCCTTTCCATTCATCTTTGGAAAATTAATTATCTTATTATGAATAATACATACACAAAATTTTCCCATTTTAACGTTATAATTAATTAAATAATTAAATATACAAGGCAAATTAGTTCTTGTTAATTTTATATTAATTTAGATTTACATTTATAAAATCAAAGATCTTTGTATTTTGTAAAATTCTTAAATTTTCAACTATATTTTGATTTTTAGAATTTAAATAATGTCTTTTAATAGAAATCATTACATTAAATTCAGAAATAATTATGTTAAAAACTTCAAATAATCAAATATTTAAAGAGAAATTTAATGTTTTAATTATTAAATATCTTCATTGTGAGGTTGAAATGACGAAATTGTTCTCTAAACATTTCAATTGATCATTGTGCACGCGACTGCTGTTTGCAATTTACGCAAATAAGCATTGCTTATTGATGATTGGTGATCGGCAGGCATTGAATGCCTGGATAAATTGAAAAAAAAAAACTGGCCGAAGTCTGTCATCGACAGGTGCTTAATCAGTCAATCACGATATAGTTTTTCAATAAGAACGCTCGCTTTGCAATGTAATATTAGCCTACATACAATATTCTACTGCCAGATTACTGTACTTTAATCGCAGCTGACATACAGTCACGCCTACAAAGTTTTTACAGTATCAAAGATTATTTTTGCAATGTTTGTCTATAATACAATAGATGATAAAATTGTACCGAATGAATAGGTATGAATATTATGAATACCGTATTATCCTCCATTATATGTCGAGAAATATTCTATTTGAGTTTCCTTTTATTTATTAACGATTGCAAAAGGATTTCTATATAAAAAGAATGTTGCGACATTTAGATTAGTTTTTCTTAGATTGGTTTTTTAACTTCCTTCTAACGTAACAAAGTATCATTTATCGCAAATGAATTACAAATTACGAACTTTCATGAAGAAGTTGTGGTTATAACAATTATAGTAATATAATTGAAGTGACCTCCCGAAAGTTTACTATAAATGAAGAGGAAGAAGTTAATAACAACTTATTAATTTCATTTCTATCATAATGTCATAAAATTGACATTCTTATAATTAAAACTTCCCGTTAATCTTCTCCTGCTAATAATTTCGAGTTTACTAAAACTCATTTCTGACAATTTAAAGAGTCAAGAAGAAAAAGTGAAAGAAACATCATTCTTTGTGTTTTGATTGACTTATAAATTTTATTCTTTTCTCATTTACTTGGCTATTTTGTTAAACACACTTTTTCCATCATATATAATGCTCAGCGAGATTATTATCAGATACGATCGATTACAATATTTTATTCTGATATTGAAAGAAAGACTGGCAGAAGCCAACGTTACATATTAATATTCTAAATCAAGAGACAGAAAAAAAAAGAATACTGCCGAACAGACATAAATCAATTTTACTCACGTAACAATATCATGAAATATATAAAAGAATTGCTTGAAAATGACTATTCCGCATGCCATATTTCGAATCGCGCTTTGAGCACATTTCTGGCATAATCGACAAGAGACAAAAAGAAAAAGCAATTATTATCACGAATACTTTCTTTTCGAGGCGGCTTTTGTAAGAGTTCCACGCTAGAAGAAAAAGAGCATGACCTCAGGTCTCAGGAGGATAATGCATCAGCAACGGGTGCGACGGCGCCAGAGGAAGCGCGCGAGCGAGACAGTAGAAACACCCACCGAGGCACCGAGTACCGAGGCCAGACAGGCCAGACTCGCGCCTCGCGCCTCGCGGCAGTCGCGGCTAGTAGTCAGTCGGTGGTCGGAGTCCGCGCGCGACGGATCGTCGAGTGATAGGCTTGTGCCACTCGCTCACTCGGTCGGCACTCGCAACTCGCAGACACGACGTCGCGATTGGACTCCGTTCACTCCGTCTGCGATACAGAAACACGTGCGTGCATTCCTGAGTGCGTGCGTAGTGCGTTTCGTGTGCAGCGGCAATGATAGGTGCGCGATTCTTCTAACGCACGTTCTGCGAATAAGTGCGTGTACTTCAGTGCTCAAGTATTTTCGAGCAACGAGAATCAGGGATACGCGAATTCTCTCTACGAATTGGCTCTCGTATGTATCAATTTTAAAAGGAATCGCGCTATCACCGTAATTACCCGGAATACACGTCATATTCGAAAAGTTCGTTGGTAGCGGCGGTGGAGGTAATTTGGACTGATGCATTTCGGTGGCCCACGCGACAAAAATATCCGTGAAAAATCTCGGCAGCTTGCCAGATGGCCTCGAGAGCTGCCGTTGTGCTCGAGGTAGTTTTGATAAGATAATCCAGAGATGATCGTCGGGATATGAAGGCACGTCGAAGGGCGCGACGAAACGACAGGCATCCTCCTCCATACGACATTGTTCTCGTCATCGCGAAGGACAAAGTCTGAAAAATTCGTTGATTTTTGCGAAACAGGTAACTAGTCTCACAGTTGTCTTGAATGTCGACGTACGTGCCAAGGAACGTAATAAATGCGTCCTCGACGTCCGCGTCGTATCGAGGTTCCTTCTTGCAAGAGGAATTTTGCGCAAGCACGACGCGGCATAAAGGCGTCACCGCGTCTGGCGTTTATGGAGCTCCGAGATTCCTCGGAAATTATACTGCACTCGAATGCAGATCGCGGCAGGAGATACGGAGTGAGCGCATGAATGCGTGGCTATTCTTGAAGAACCGCTTGGTAAAAGCTGTCCCCCCCCCCCCCGTACTTAACAAAAAGAATCACACGTCGAAGGGAGTACGTGCACGTCAAAAAGGAAACGTCAAGTATTCTAGGCACGCGTGTATGACAACGAAAACTCGTTCGACTGATCATTCCTTTATTCTTCGGAATTTTCTAAATTGAATAAGTCGTACGTTTCAAACGTGACGTAAGTCAAATCATGAGAATTTGCAGATTAAAATATTTACGTAATGATTTTTAATGGTCGCAATTATTCCTTTACATAAGAACATCAATATCGCGAATGAATATAAAGGAGTAAGGATGTGGCATTTCTATCCATGACGTTATATAATGATATTCACATTATTTTATTAAATGACTACGTGTAAATTAACAACCATAATTTTTTTAGTACTTGAATGCCTTGACTTTTGTTTCCATATTATATACATATATATATGAGCAATAATAAGTTTAATATTTGCAATAATATGTAAAAATTTGTAATGTAAACATTTAAAAATTATATAAATTCTGCTATACATTTATACATTTATAGAAAGCAAATTTTTATAGAAGTAAATTAGTGAAAGTTTCTCATGAGAAAACACTCGAAACGTACTATTGGACGTGACATTGCTTTTTCGCTTGAACGAATCATATGTGTTACAAATACATTACAGATTTGTTAAAAATACATACATTATTTTACTGTTGCTTCCAAACGCGAAAAAAAACTAAAAAATATAACTGACAAACTGTAAAACTACAAGAACTGGTCGAAACGTGAATATTTCGTAAAAAAAACCTGCTGCTTCTAAAAATACGTATCACACTGTAAAATTCCTTTAAAATAAAAAAATCTTTCCGTATTTATTTATTGATTGATCTTGCAAATTTTTAATTCACATTTTCTCGACTACAAACGTTGTTATGAATAATTATGATGATAAAAATTATTTCATGTAATCTTAGATATAATTTAAGAAAATATTACATCTGATAACGGGCGTGATTTAGAGAAATATTATGCGACATAAGAATACGAAACTGATCAAATTACTGCGAGGATCGAAATTGCGATAAAATTTGAAATTCGGAAATGTATAGATGGGATTCACATTTCTGCCAAATGGTTCTTCGCAGTCATACATATTCAGGTACACGTGAAGAAAAAAGAACTTAAATCAGAGACAAAATTCTTTGCAATATGAAGACCTTCTAACGTAAAATTTAAAAAACGAGGGATTGGTGACTTTCATCCCGTATTTCCCATGAATATGAAAGGTTTTATGGTAATCGTAGTTTACTCATGTATGTTGGTCAAAAATTAATAAATGTAAATCTATGTCAGTGTATAACTGTCACGTATATGTAGCTCTTCATTTAAATTATTTTACTGTTTTATACAAGGTTACAAAATATTTCGCTTCTTATTTTCGTTATCAAATAATTTTATATAGAAAATTACGGATCGTAAAGACTTTTTTATAGTCTTGTTTTTTTAAGAATATTAGATATTCTAAGAAAATAGCTTTCACAAAAAGAAATTAATTAATTGGTTCAATAGCATTGGATAAAGCCTTAGTGAAAAGCTTCTATTCATGATACTATATAGTGTGAAACGGCGCCACCGCGCCGTTGAGTATCTCGCAATTTTTACAATCCGCTCTGTTGATGCTGTGACGTGAACTAAACGACCGTTTTTATTCTCGGTAGAGAAAAAGTGATACTATGCCGAGGGAGAAGATGAGAAAGGGCGCGAACATAGAAGATCCCCAAAGAATAGCATTGTTCACATAAAACGCACGTTCACATTTTAATCTACTGAAATTATGAACGATGCAAAACGCCATTAACTTGTAGCAATTCACTAATCTAGTGAACTGTTTTTAATTCACGATCAAGTTAGTTCGTCATTTTTTTTTTCACAGTATACGTATTTTGGCACAATAAAAGGAACGATTTTGAAGTATCTAAAAATTCAACTAGCATGTATACAACATATATATAGATCTAAAAATAATTTTGTTTAGACCATAATCAAAATAATCAAAATATTTATGTAGAACGTTCAAATAACTGATTACTAGAAGATTAAGATTTTTTGTAGCATTGTCATCACAATACTTAACCCTTAATTATCTTTCCGATATATAACATATTCGATTCTTTTCCAATGCTTTGTCATTACTTAATTTATTTATTAATAAAGATGTATACATTTGCTTCGTATCGTTATGTTCTTCAATGTCTGGCGTTTCATTTAAAAAAAAAAAACAAATTTTTATAATATATTCTTTTTTATAAAAGTTACAAGTAACTGAATAAGGTTGGATTGGATACGTTATTCAGTATATTGTTTTTGTAAGCCGTCTTAAACATTCTAATTTGTAATTATTTGAACGATCTAACAAAATTATTTTTTGTATCTAGCTAAGTTTTAGATACTTGAGCAAAACTGTTTTCTGTGTGTAGTATAATTTCAGTTATTTCTATAATTATTCACAGTCGAGTTTCTATTATTCGCAGAATGTGACGCGTGTTATTCGTAGCAAAGCCCTTTCGTCTTCGTGAAGGCGCAATGTCCTGACTGTGTCACTTGCTTGTCTAGAATATCACGGATACAGGATATTATATATAGGTTTATCCTACCACTAGTTGCATAACATAACATGCTCTTGCAGCTTATTAGTAGATTATATTAATCCATCTAACAGATTATGCCTGTGAATCTATCGCGATGTTCTAGATTAAAACAGGTATAAAATATTTTCTATAATATTTTAACAATCGTTACACATTTACAGCATTATAAATCTAAAGAACGGAGGTAATAACAAGTAAATTTGCGTTAAAATACTTTTCCGAAATTGAACATCTAATCGCAAAAGACATCCCTTACGACCGGGTAGTCGACGGCAATAGGATAACTTGCGAGAAGCGAAGTTCTTATCGGTTTTCCAATTTTACCATCGTCGCTTCAGTTCTTCAGGCCGCAATTGTCGCGAAAATCCATGACGATTGGCGATGTGCAGTCGGGTATATATATATATGTAGAAATGCAAGATTGTGTAAGATTGCACACATATGTAAGGTCCTCACGCGTTACGTTTTGTCTTCTTTCTAACTTTTGTGTCAGCGACAGCACCAAGAACGACTGCTTCTGTTATATTCACAGTGCTGATACTATCTGGCGGGTGTCAAGTTGTATTTCACTTGTAAATTATTTTTCCCGTGAATCTATCTCTCGGCACTCCGTCCGTCCATCCGTCCGTCCGTTTGTCCTATCTACCACCCCGTATCTACTCCCCCTAGCAAACGTATCCCTAAAATATTTATGTGCACAGATATCGGGCTTGAAGCGCGGTCCAATCGTGCAGCCACCGCACGCGAGAGTGCCGCGGGTCGATTAATATCGGACCACCTGGTCAAATCGCATTCGGATCGGACGAAAAAAAGGAAAGGAAAAAAAGTCTGTCATTTTGGAAGCGCGCGCCGGGGGCATTTCACACAATCGCGTCCTGCTGGGAATTCCCACGAATTTCAGAGATCGTGTCGCCGTGGAAAATTAATCGGGCGCGAGTGTGTGACAGCTTGATCGGCGAAAGTGGCTATTCTTCGAAAAAGTTTCTCGGATCCGGTGAGTAATCGACAGTGGAACCGGAAGTGTCAAGCTTGCAGTCGCAGCCGAAGGAAGTGAAAAGGTTCTGTGCGTCAACGGACAAATCGACGCGCACGCCTACGTGGAAGCAGGGCAGAACGTTAAATGAATGTTGTTACGGTGGGCGCTGGCGGTCACGACGGGAAAATCGAGGGGACACGGCAGGATCGCTCTCTCTCGATTTAAATTCATAGATGTGCGAGCGAACGGACCTACAATGGTGGCTCGGCTCCCGCAACAAGTTCTGCTGCTACTCGTACTCGGTGAGTAAGAAACACCCGCGGGTATTCCGACAAATATGTTACTGGATAATCGTACTTTCTTTCAACGATATTGGCTCCCATGAGAAAATCAATAATTCGGTATCATTGGTATATGTTTAAATTTTAAATAGAGTTTTGAAATTTTGAAAGATAAAACAGTTCCTTTCGCTACAATGTAATTACAAGAAATCAATTATTTATGTATTTATGTATTTGTTATCAATAACTTCATTATTGAAGAAAATGTGACAGCTCAAGAGAGAAAAAAAAGTTTAGATATTTTTCCAAAATATGAATTTAATTAAAAATTTCAAAAAACAAAAATCTATGTTTTGCAATTTGTAAAAAAAAAATACGTTTCACTTCTATAATAATTTCTAGAATGCCAGTATTTTTTCATTTCCATCCTATTATCCTCTTTAACAATTTTTTCTTCATTCAATTAAAAATTGTTGATACGTTTAAAGTTTTTCCATTACTCGAACTTTGAAAAGCTTGTTAATATAGATGTTTCATCAATTCGCATATATCTTATAAAAATTCATTGTTCCTGGAAATTTCATTTATGTTACCTTCAGAATAAGGGGCTCATATATCCTCTATATTTAGGCACCAGCTAAGTTAACCAACCATGTGTACACAGGCGTGTAGGAGGTAAACGTGTATAGCGCCAGCTGATTTAACACTTTCGCCGTTTTTTTTTTTCTTGGCGACGCCCAGCACAAACTAGCGTCGTATCGAGTTTCGGTGTTGCGACACTTGGGAGTTTTGTCTGATTAAGAACAAACTGTATAACAGAATAGAAATATCTCGATATATGATTCCGTAGTTCTTTTTACATGAACAACACAACTTAAGAGTCGTTAATTTTTTAACGTTAAAACGATTTAACATTAAAACGTTATTATTCCCTGCTTAAAAAGAACGTTGAACCTGTATCGTATATATAAATTTAGTTTTTGTATGTAACTTGCAATAGTGAATATGTAAATAACTTATATTTTATAATAAAAAATAAATTTTACGAAATATCTAAATTTTTGCAAATACTATATAGATAATTGCAACAGCATGTGGTGATATACGAAAAATTACCAAAATAAAAATCTAGCTAGTCAAAACAATAAAAAAAAAAGAGACATTTATGTGATATATCACTTAATTACAGCTATTTTTACGCGAGCTTTCATCGAGACGAGTTATACAAAACGAATGAAATTTAGAAGCGCATAAAACGCAAATTCATTTTTCAGATTTTTCCATTTTCCTTATTCTATTTTTTATCTATTGTTCTATTGCTAGTTTGCTGTGCTATAGAAAAGCATTGAACTATGTCATTGCGCAATACGCTGAATCTACCGGAACGGACGTGAAGTTTTTTGCGCTTGATTCAAATCCAGATCCGGTATGGACTTAAGGTGGTACATTCGGTTAATCCGCCTTAAAGGGGGAATATCGGGTCGAGAAGTGGAAGTTTAATTAAGTCAGATTACAGAGACCGAAATGAATAAAGTTTCATCAAAGAGAATCACGAAAGACATTCCGGAACGAGAAAGATTCGTCTCGATTAAAGTAAGATCGAACGTTACGGCAATGAATAAATACATAAAACACTAAGTCACTTATACATATTGTGTATATGCAATAATTCTAGTCGTTGATTTGCATTCTAACGCCAGGACATTAGCTAATTAATAATGATGTTTTTTCGAATATGTATGGCAAAAGATTTTTTGAAGAAAACTCAGCTTGTTAAAGTTAAAATTAAATTTATTAATTTTATGTCACACAATGAAATAAATTCAAAAAATTAAATAAACCTAAATAAATTGCGCGAAAAATGAATAAATAAAACGTTCCGTTGTTTTTTCAATTAAATATACGTTTGTTAAAACAATTTAGATATATCGTACAACAGGCACTCAAATACCTTGTTTCCCTTTTTGCAATTACATACCATGTTTCACATAGAAACTATAGAAAACTTTAATGTAATTTCGACGAATGTGTCGTTTCGGTCTATATGTTAAAAAATTTTGTCCAATTTTTCGAATCGGTTCCCACAGTCGCTATTGCATGTCCGATATTTTTTCTCACAGGTAGATCGATAGTACCGGGTAAACGCCGATATAGAGCTCTTCTCGTTGATCACGTAGTGCGTCAGGTACAACCAGTTGCATCGTTAATTCACAGAGATACACTCGGCGAACATACCGCAATTTCCTGGCTCAGTTATAGATAGCGATCGACTTTGTCCAATTTACAGATTTCTTGCCACTTAGCAGAATCAATCGAACAATACAGTTGCATATTATTCGCTTAATTCGTCTCAAAGCAATCAAACGTTCTGTGACGTCCGTCGAAAGTGGTCGTTATATGACCAATAATTGAATCCAAATATGAGCATGTATCGAAATTGGAACGCAGAAACTGCATGTGTCACCAACATGAACGATATTCATTGATAACGGAAATTGCAAACGTAATAATCTAAAATTAAAGGCAAAATTTATTTATCAGTTGGTTATCCAGCGTTGACGTAACTTTTTATAATATGTATATCTCGAAAAATAATTTTAAATATTTCACCATTTCTATATTAATCAAGGGTAAAATTTTTTATAAAGAAAAACGAAAATTACACTTGATATGAATGGTCTTTCATCTATCGGGTTGTTTGCAGAGGCGTAACGAAAACATTGATGAGCTCTTTGTTGATCACGGGTATCGTTGCCACGCGATACAACCTGCATCACTGATTCGCGGCTAACATTCAATTGCGGTTTTCTACGCCACTTCTGCAATTTCAATGTAACGATTAACATTGCGCGCGTCTGCTACGGTAATTAAACATCATTTAATATACGTGTCACAATTTAACGGCGCACAAATAAGTATGTCAAGAAAAATTACTGCTTTTTTCGCTGGATTGATTTCTGATAAGCGTAAAAACATAGATCAACAAACGACGTGCTATATTCGATTGTCCATTAACGTGATTGGCGTGCATTGCATCGCAACGCATCGTAGATTGCACTCTACTCTACTGTGCATTGCGTATTGCCAATGGCAATGTTACAACGAGATCCTCATCAAACGATATAACGTTTGTCAATCGTACTCAAATCAATTTCGACAAATTTTCAATAAATTTCGCAGCTTTGCGCTATTCTGTGTCAAGGACATAATTGTTTCTAATTAATTACATCATACATGTATTTGTTTGGTTGAATAATTTAATCTTTATCTTCTCCATTTGCTAATTAAGCAATATCATGATTACAGTTGAATACCAAAAATGCAAATGCTAGGATCACGTAATATTATTGTATAAATAATAATGTTGTGTTTTGTGTTAATATATATGGAAAATAACATGTGAAGAATAGTAAGTGAGAGATTATAAATTGAAAATATATTGTTATTGTCTGATAAATTCAATTACATTCTTGGAAAAGTCAGTCTATAAAACGCAAGAATTTCTGATTCAGTGACACTTCCATTGTACATATTTGCAATTGCAAACCTTCCTCTTGTGGCTCCGTGTAAACACATTACGCACGGTTTTGTTTCGTTCTACTATTTCCATTTGAAAAAGAAAGTATGATATGAAGTCTTGCAGGTAGAAAATGTAAAACTGAGTCCTCGCTTCGTAAAGGGAAAAGCGTTCAATTTACATTCACAAACAACAAGAGATGCTTGATATATCTATCATCGTATTCAAATTTTTCTTTCTCTTATGTCCTCTACCTCAAAAACAAGCGCAACTGTGCAAAGTTTACTCTGTGAATTGTATTTCTTTAGTTGACAGATTAACTAGATGTTGTTCTTTACATTCTATGTTTCTTTCTTCATTTTTCAACTTCTGAAAAATTCTCAAAATTCTGAAAACAATATCATCGATCTCAATTTCTATATGATATATTTCGGCCAATATAGTTTCAATTTTCAGTGCTGCTTCATTATAACTTATTATTATTTGTTATGTTGTGTTAAATCTTCAATTTTTAATTTTTAATGTTTGGCGTTTGATAAATTACATAATTTTGATTTTGAAAAATTAATTTTGAATTAATAGCAAAAGTATTACAATCAGTGACCGATTATAGGTATAAAATAGTCAAACAAATCATATGGGTTAGTAACATTAACTTATTAATAAATATAAAATTATTATGTAATATTTTCATCCAAATATCGAATAAAAATTGAATTTTCTAATTGCTTTATGCACAAAATTTTCAGTATTATATGTTACATATGATTATATATATATATATATAGATTCTATAAATGACACATAATATAATTAATAGTTGTTTAAATGAACCACTCCATTTTAGTGACATAATTACAAAATTACAGACAAGACGTATTACATTGGAAAAAAATCACAAATCGCTAATTAAAAGAAGATACTCATAAATTGCGTTTCTCAATGCCATAAATAATCGGATTATAATATAGTTGAATTTAATAATTCTACTTTTATTAAAGGCAAGCGGATCTATGAAATAACAAGAAAACCGATATTAATTAGAAGTTAAGTCGCGTAATAAACTAGAATTTTCAACAGTGAAAAGTACTCTTCTTTAAATTAATTTCTCTGCAAGAATATAATTTCTCAAAGAATTATAAAATTATTACAAATTGTATATAAGTTATCATTTCTTTCATTTAAGTAACTCATAAAATTTCTCGAAGTTTCTCATGTTCGATCTTCATAATGTTACGTACGATATATAAGTAAATATATTATACGCTACATATAACGCTAATGAGAGAGAGGGAGAGAGAGAGAGAAAGACAGAGAGAGGAAGAATCGGTCAAATTGTTGCCAAGAAATCGCGATTGATAAAACATATATACTAAATAAAAAAATATAATTAATATATTCAATAATATTATTATCTCATTATTACTGATTATGTTATGTTATGTAGTCTCATCAGCAATGTAATTATCGGTAATTACAACAATACTAAATAATACTTATATTT